AGACAGATAAAGTCCTACACGCCTTGATTGGCTGGTTCTCAGGGCTCCTAAGGGTGTCATTAGTGTACTCAACAACAACAAACTAAGTCACGTTATTGAGCAGTTTTGTAGATGTTTTCAAAAAAAATCCATGTGTCTAGGACACAGTTACCTCACCTCTAATACAGGCGGCCTGTCATTGCCCATTTACCCTCTTAAAGGTAACACAAGTGCTCCAAGCTATCCTTAGAAAACTGTAGCTGCACTGCATACAAAACAATGGAGGATCAAAGCAGAAGGATACAGTAGGAGCTGTTGTTGTCATCATGGCCGCAGGCAGTCTGAGGGCTGTACCATGAAGAAATATTAATAAGCCAGGAATGTTGAGTCCAAAGGCAGTGTTTTGAAGGTGGCTCTGTTTTTACCCTTGTGCCTGGCTGGATCACAATGATGAGCTAAGTTGAACACAAAACCTGGAGCACGTTATGTTTGGAGGACAGAGGTTAAAATTTGCTGGAACTGCCACATCTCGAGTGATTCATGTCAGGAGGACATGTTCTACGTGTGAAGGGATTTGTACTTGCACAGCTCATTGCCTGTGTAAAATACAGCCGAGTGAAGCTGTACAGTGAAGCTACAGCAGCACAGTCTGTGTGTACTTTTATTTCATAGTCAGAGGAATTTGCAGTCTTTCAGATTTAAATGTATAAATATGATTTATGTTTTATAATGTTATGAGTTTCATATAGTGAGGAAACACTGAATAACCTGTAATGATCAAATGTATAAAGTTGAAAGTTCAGTCGCTTTAAGGTCCAGCTGCCTTGTTAGAAATATACTAATATAAATTCACAAGAGCTGGAGAAATATCTTTGGGAATGAACTGGTGAACGCGTGAACTGGTGAATCTGGAGACTACTCGTTGTAAGCGAGTGGAGAGTTGAGGATATTCAGCTGGGGCTCAGAATAGAGCTGCTGCTCCTTCACATCCACAAACGGCTCAGGATGAGTTTCTGGGGCAGACCTGGGACATGCTACGAATGCCTTGGTGTCTACTCAGAAGAGTTGGTGGAGGTGGTGGGGATGGTGGAGGTCAGTGCTGTGGAAAAAGTGTGGATGAATGGAATTCACACGATTAATGGTTTTCTACCACCACTGCTCTCTTACCCTGTTCGCAGCACCTGTGTTGACTTTAATCATTATATATTTACAGCGTGTTCTTCATATGGCTTTTTCAGCTGTTTGTCTGACAATGGCTCTGACTAAAGTTGTCACCCTGGAGAGGTCATCTTGCACTGAGGAAGCCAAATGACATGTCAAAGCCACCATTTATGTGAGCATGCACAGAATGTGAAGCGTAGAGCCCGGACCAGACAAGGAAGGTTGGCCATTTCTACTGTGACTCTATTATCGCTCACAGGGGTTTTAGGATTTAGGTTTAAGCTAATGCAGAGAAAGTCTAACTGTGCTGAACTTGCTTTCTAGCGTGATGATGACACTGGACCACAGATTAATAATAAAGAAAAACACAAAGTTCCTTTAAAAGCACAGGAAGACTGAATAAAGCTGTGCTGAAAAGCACAAAATTAAAGACAGACCAACTGTAAAAAATGCAGTGTGGCTTTCAAAACGACCTGATTTGAATTAACCATGACTTATAACATTGTTTGGGGAATAACCCATAGAAATAGAGTGTAGTTACAGGCTCTGACAAAAGAATAAAGTATTAATATGTTAATGTTAGATCATATTGACGACCTGTAGTGAGAGCTCACTGTGTACTTGCAGATGTAGGTGGAGAGTGGTAGTGGTAGTAAGAACAAAAGTGTGAAAGTTAAGTGAGTCTAGGAAAAAAAAAGTGAGGACAAACTGTAACAGTTCTTGTGTCTGCATTGTAATCTGGTCTATTTTCTGAACCTGCATGTGGGTGTAGAGAAGCTTTCTGTGCTTCTTTGGTGGATTTCTCCGGGTATGATTTTGAGCGATGCTGCTAAATGTTAGCTCAAAAGGCAGATCTTTCTTTCTGTTGCATTCTCAGAGGCTCCTTTAACCCAGTGATGAACACTTTTTAATAAGCATCATCACTAATATTGTAACCAGCTCGGTTTTGCATCAGGCGATCTCTGTGCACTGATATCGGCATATGAACATACATAATAATGTAGGCAAGGGACAAGACTGTTGATGCCAGAGGCCAGGTGCTTTTTAGAAGAAATCCCATGGCCAAAATATAATTCCAAAAACAGGTCACAGTCTGAACACCATTAAAATTCCAGTTGTTTCTTTAAATTAATTTATCTGCATTGTTAAACTGCTGCACAGAAGAAAAATCTTGGCCTGTATAGCGAGCGGCTGCACCAGAATTATGAAAACACTGACCTTTGTCTCCATCAGAAGATAGATGATGGGTTCCAAGGCTGTAAAACAGCTGAGGCTATAATAAAGATGTTTTTTCTCTTCCTAAGCTCAATATAAAAGCTACAGCAAAGTATTTGATCCCACCGTTTCTGATC